CTTGAACACACTGGGCATGTGCATGCCTATGATCCAGGGATGGCTGAGGCTGGAAGTGAATCACAACATGGGGACCCTGTGAGGGATGCCTGTCTCTCTCACTTATGGAAGAAATGTAAAAGCAAAGAAGAAACTGTAGTTAGTGAAGGGAAACTCTAAGTGGCCTCTGGTGTTAAAAAGGAAAAACACTTTTGTTTCTTCTATTAAAAGTCCATCTAAGGACCAGCAGATGGTGTAATGGCTATGTTGCTGGACTCTCATGTGGTCAACCATGGTTCGAGTCCCAGACTTGGTAGCTTAAACTCACACAGGATGTGCGTGTGTGTGTGCCCAAGATCCTGAGTGGAGAATGGAGGGGACGGGATTGCGGTGTGGCCATTCCCCCTGAGGGGTGATTTCTCGCTTTCTCTGTCTTTCTGGCACACGTGCCCTACAGCAAAACAATCTATCCAAAAAAAAAAAAGTCCATCTAAAAGGTGAGATTTGGCAGCTTTTGATACAAGTCTAAGCTATGGCCTATTAACTTTTGATAGTAAATACATGACTTGAGTGTAGATGTTCACAGGCTCTGATCCCCCTAAATACACTCAAACAACAATGTTTTCACTTCATTTATTCCTTTAAAACAGGGCAATTCATACAGCATTTAGATATTTAAAACAATACAGCTCATAAATAAAATTAATGCATCTTAATGACAATGGCAAAAATCACATAATTGTACGAAATGAAATTAGACATTTTCCAGGTAGCAGCAGTGCATTAACTTTGAAAAAATGCTAAGTAGACAAAGTAACATCTTTAAAATACTGTCCATTTTTATGAAGATAAGTATTTTTTTAGGATAAGAAAAACAACTTCGTTTGGAATGCTTTTCCATCCTACTTTTTCAAGTCATGTTCTAATGTTTTAAATTTGACAGTCTTTACTAGTGGTTTTGTTGCTTCAGGAACCTCTGCCTCTACTGCGTTAACACAGGGACTGCAGGACTACCGCTATATATCCTGTGACAAGCTATACATACTTACTCTGTATTTCAAGCTGAATTTTTTTTTAAAGGGAAACAATTACTTTGCTAAGTACATACTTCCTGTAAACAACTTGATCCTGAATGGCACAAATGTGAACTGGAAAGCTTGACAAGAGTTAGGTCCCCTGGTCCTCGAAGTAACGTATGGACACTAATCAACTACATATCCTACACCATTTATAAAGTTAGACTACTATCATCTCAGTGGAAATTCTAAACTTTCCTTAGGTTAGCCTTTCAGTTTACCTGCAACTTAATTAAATCACACTTTCATTATCCCTGAATGTCTATGAGTAGATTAGTACTTTTAAAAACAGAAGTATAAAAAGGCATCGTAGCAAAATGCTTATATTCATGGTTTTATATTTTAAGGACAAGTTTTTTTTCACCTGTGGCCCTGCTACATTTTATGCCAAGAAATGGGGAGAAAAGGGTTGAGGTGAAAAAGGCATTGCTTCAAAACTTTTCTGAAAAGCGTAATTCATGACTAGGAATGCATCCATTTGACAATCTTTTTTAGTGATACTTTTACCATCCTGTCTCTTCCTTTTGCTCTAATATAGCATGAGAGGGTTATCAACCTTCTTCAAATGCACACGAGTCAAGACCTAAATTGGCACCCAAAATTGTGAATCAACGTAACTTTTTTCAAAGTCAAATACACAAAGAACTGTAAACGAAATCCTAATTTTTGGAGAAGAAAAAATAAAACATCTCAATTTCCCATAAGTCTTATATTTTTTTTCTATTTGATGAAATATTATAATGCTTAATAAAGTTAATAACCTAGCTTATTCAAATCAGGTCTTTCACTTCTGACTTTAAAACGATGCCGCTAGTGAATAATAATTTTAAGGCTTCTCATTCGAAAATCAGCTTCCTTAAAATAAGTTTGGTTCAAAACAAATAAGCTTTAACAATTTCATCTTTTGAGGTCAGCCTATGACCAAGTGGTTAAGGAAGCCAGATGCCACATGGTTGACCAAGGTTTGTGTCCCAGCCCCAGCGGCCTGAAAAACATGAGACACATATTCATGAGTGCCCAGGGTCCTAATAGGATAGAGAAATGGAGGAGAAAGGATTGTGGTATGACCACATCCCAATGCGAGATGTTTCCTCTCTTCCCCTCTGGTGAGCACACACACCTTCTGGCAAAAAAGAAAAAAAAAAAGTCTTTTAGAAATTTGTCAGTCATCTTTGTGCTGCAAGGGCAAATCTGAATATGCACTGTACGACAAATGATAAAAGACAATTACACTATAGTAATAAGTAACATTGCTAATGTGAGGGCACAAACCATGCTCCTAATAGTCACTGAAACTGAGTTCTGCTGTTATCAAAACACAAGAACGCTGTACCACTAGATACACTACACACTGAAGGCAAGGAGAGATTAAGAGCAGCTGATGGGCAGCAGCTCAAGCATTGTATTTTGATGTCTTTAACATGATCCCTAGAGTTAACATGTAAACTGTCCCATTTTTTTAAAGTGCTGGAAATGTGTGTCTCAACATATGAAAGAACATAACTCTAAATAATATGTAAGATTAGGAAGGCCACCTGATTTGTCAAGAAATAAAAACCAAACTAGAAATACCTGCCTGTTGATTAATCTGGCATACTCTCCATTCTCATTTTTTCCAAAAGACATAGAAAACTATGTTTTGCTAGAGCAACTTGCAACACCCATGTTTTAATCTTGAGACAAGACAGGAATAAACTAGACAAGCAAGTTAGCCAGTGGGCACTTAGGGACATATACAGAAGAATAATGTAATGTTAATTAGTTCTTGATTATGACTTTGCTAGGACTTGAACTTCAGGGACTAATCAAATAGCATGACTATATTACTTAACAGGCTTAACAGGGACAAGCTGACCAGCAGCCAAGCTTCATGGGTACTACTTGACTATGCTCAATTCTCAATCCTAGAAATCATAAAGTCAAACATGAACCACTAGCAAAAGATGTAACATACTGATGTCTTCATATGGCTATCACATGACAAAACTCCCAGAGATGTTCATTTTAACCTCTGAAATCACTATTGAAGAGAGCATCTTCCTATCGCACCTAATCTTTAATCCGAAAAGGGAAAGAAAGAGGGGTGGGGTGAGAGAGCACAATTTATTCATCCTGCCACCAATATAACGTCCTCGATTTAATTAAAACAAAAATTTCTGTGCACCAGGCAAAAACTGAATGAATAGGAAGACGGGTTTCATTCTGCTCCAGTGCAAATGTAAGACAAGGTTTCTTTTAACACTGCTACTAAATCTGTAGATTTTCAAAATTCTCACGATGAGAATTTACTCACATTAACAATTTAAGAGTTTAATAAGCACAGAAAAAAATAAGAAACCCTTTAAATTCTCTGAGGCTTACAAATTTTAGAGTGTAAAACTCATTAAATCCTCAATAATTAAATCAAACGGCCTGCAAATAATGCTTCACCGTCAATTTTCCATGATTAGAAGACGAATGTACTAGTCCTAAATTTCAGCCAGTGATTAATTTTAAAAAGTCACTTCTGAAACCAATTTGACCAAGCTATCAGTGTCCAAATGGTGAATGGACAAACCAGATAACAGATAAACAGAGAATAAAATAAGGTCCCCTGAATAAATACTTGACACTTAATATGTAAACAAAATACTTCAAGCAAAAGGGTTTCATTTTATAAAATATTGGTGTTCTACTTCTTTGCATTTGTTAAGTTAATCTACTGTAGATAATAAATAATTCTAAAGTGATAGAAATTTATGTTGGGGAACCTATCAAAACAAGCCTGGCACATTATAAATTATTTAATAAATATTTACGCAGCTAAAATTCCAGCAGTCAAATGTAAAATTTGGCTCCCAAAGTAGCAATGGAAGACAAGCTTTATGAATAATGATGATGTCTCAAGTTCACTTTGATAGATGTTATTTAGTGGTCTAGTTATGATTCACAGTTTTAAATTTAGTATTTTCTGGGGAAAATAAGACAAAAACCATGTAGACCAGATGAACAGATTTTCAATCATATTCATTTGTACATACTATGATTGCCAAACATTAAATATTATAAGCTCACAAGTGCTATTTTTAAGTTAAGGCTCAGTAAAATGGAATATGATACACTCTTAAATTATACTGACCATAATAACTTATAATGCCAAAAACAGCTATGCACACAAAAAATACTCAGGAAATGTCATCTGATGATTTCAAGCATATTTTGTGAATTGTTCCTTAAAGGTACTTTCCCCTAAATTGTTCACATTACTTGATTTTACATGGCCACTTGTACCAAGTGAATGTGCTAAAAGTAAATCTTACTTTTAAAACTGCCCAAGAAGATATGCTGAAAAAGATGTTTGGAAGTATATCACTAATAATCAAAAGTCAGTCCAAGATAACTTCACGACATTAAGCCTCTTCACATTACGTGAGATATTACATAACGCATTGTAATTTAGCATCCCTGATCTTCAGAAGAATTAAGAGGTAGAAAACTTTATCTGGAAGATCTTGTAGTGAAGCAAATTTTTAGAAGGTGTGCCTTGCAATTAGTTCACCAAGCAAATGGCTACACATATACTGGGAAGAAGCAGAATTCTGAGAAAGATGAATAAGGCAAGAACTTAAAAATTTTCATATTTTGGGAGTGATACAAATTCATTCAACATTTTTCTTCCAATTGTTTAAAAACTTGCAAAAGTCAAAGATCACAGATAAGCAAAGTGCTAATTTGCAGAAATGTGGAATTATCCTAAAAAAAGCAGTGCTGGAGGGATAAGGCTAGCAGAGAAACAAATACTGCTCACGTATGCAAAATATCTTACAAAATCAAACCAAAACAGCATCATCACTAGAGAGGAAACTTTTTTGGAGGACATGCTCTTAACACAAAGCTGATTCTTTAAGTAAAAAAAAAAAAACAAAACAAAAGTCAAGCAAATTTCAAGGAACTTCAATTACACAAGGCCAATGGTCTTTTAAAGCTTTAGTAAGCTGCTTCAGTCAGGCACCTTTTCCCTCATACATTCTACTTTTATACACTAGAAATCTTAAACAGGGCATTACCAGTTCCTGTTTTTAGATAACATTCTCAAGGAATAGACTCATCCCTGTAAAAATTGCTTGTTATATACTTATAAGTGGTTAGGTACACATTTATAAAGTCTATCAAATTGTAATATAAAATCAGTTTTGACAATTCTGCATTATATCTTCGTTTGATGAATCAATTCGTAATTTAGAAACTATTAACTCCTTCAGAGTTGTTAGAAGAGCTCAGTTACTGGAGACACTGTGGTGTATGTCCTGTGGCCTCACACAGGGCCTTCTGCATTACCCAAAATGTCATGTTGTTTTCTTCTACCAAGTTAAAGCTGCTGGGTGCTAGTTTGTAACAGTAAAGCTCAATTTTCAGGTTAGTGTCAGTAGGTAGTGAGGACCACCTATTCTGTCACCCCAGCAGAGGGCATGTATCACCACTGTAGACACACATCTGTAAACTTGCACACTAATTTTAATCTTAACAAGGAATTTCAGTGTCTTAGTGGTATTAGTTAAAAGGATGGTTTGAGCATTGTGTCCTTTGTTATTAAGGGTTATGAATAGCTTATTGGAAAACCCAGAGCCTTCTGGATCTGTGAGGTAGTAGGCTTCAACCCTCATCATGCATAGCTCACACTTCTCCGAAGTTGGTATGGCCCGTTTCCTTGGCATGGTCCCTTGCTTCTGCTTGGCCAGTTAATCCCTTCTGACACACCATGCATCTCAGAGTGAA